CTCAATAAAAGTGGTACGGATAGCTAGCTATCACAAGCCGATATTGCCCGATAACATATTTTTATAGCTAGATAATCTCAAAGGCATTTTTTTGCTTGGGCGCTCGTGTACAAAATATTCACTATCGCACAGTTTAAATATTAGTGAAGATAACGTTTTTAGAACGAACTGAAATTTGATTTTATTCTTCTTAAAAAATAAAACACCTTTTTTTTATTGTTCAGGCTCCTGATCGTAACCATTTTTATCAAACACATCATATTCATGAAACTTGTATCGATTTAGCAACAGTGGTTGACAATGATAATATGTATCAGCCAACTAACTTAAATAATGAAGAACATAACACAGTAAGCCAAGCTAATTACAAGAAAAATATATAACAAAGTTTCTTCCCTTTCATTACAGATCGAAAACATCGTCCCTATAGTTACAGAAAGAGCAAATGGTGTGATTCATGCACCGTTTGAATCTTCTAATAAAAGGAAAACATGCGAAGATGATAATTTATCAGATCTTAATAGTTCAGTAATTCAGGTAAAACACTCTTAATTAATTTCACTAGTACATATTGCACTAAGCTATTTTTAGAATTGCACATCAACAAGTAAGCAAAAGAAATTCCTACATCGCCATTGACAACAACGCAATCGCAATCTCGAGTAAGTAGTTATAAGTCGTAAAAAAGGAGGAACCGATCTTATCAATTTGAATTTTTCGTGTATAGGTCCAATATTAACAATTATAGATTCAAGCACACGACAAACCTATCAGGTAAATGCGGAGAAATACAATCGGACCAAACATGCCACAGACACCGCATTATTATCAAAAGAGAGCGGATTCAATAATTTATTATCCTTTTTATTCGGCACAATGTTTTCTAATGAAGAATTTTCAAGTGAGCTCCATTCACGGCACAGTTAAAGGAACAAAAGCGTTATGTCCGCAACGCGTTCATACCATCGATGAACATATGTATAATATTTATGGACAGCGATATACCTCGTACAGACAAACCAAAAAGTTTCAAGATACTATAAACAAAAAATGCTGTCGGTTCCGATCATACCAATTTTCAGTTTAATAGTTCGGTTTTATTTTTCCACCTTTTAAAGCATATGTATGCAAATAAAATAAAGACTAATATATATATATATCGGTAATTTGCGTTATTCAAGACTATTCATAAAAAACATGATGCAATTGCATTTAAAGCGAGAAAATTTTTGTTATATATGAACATCCAAATAGTTTGGCACTAGAATGTATATATTACGTACATTTTTAATTTAGATGTGCAGTTGGTTGATAGCTTGATAAATGAACAATATTTTCAAAGAGAGCGGTCAATTATCTTTGAAGCAATAAAATCAAAAAAACAGGTTCAACTTTGTACGAAAAAAGTAGCACAAAATAACATGTTTATATAGAGGAAGAAAGGAATAAGGGAATAGAGGAATAGTCGAGGAATATAGAAAGAGAGGAATAGCGACTGGCTGTCCGGAATATATTTTGAAATGCTCCCTAAGTGTTCCAGCATGCTAATTCTTAGTCATTATTTGTGAGAAATCCCAGAAATAACCTTGAAAGAACTAAATGGTAAAACATCCGTTGCTTTTCTGAAAGATCACACACACACACTG